CCGCACATTACTGTAGCTACGTCACGGCGGTGTGCTTGCTGAGCTTGTGCAAACCCAACATGTGCACGTAGGACAACACCTCCGCATCAACCTGCAGGCGCTCATGGTCTTCCTTAGCGGCAGTTTGCGGGGCAATGTGGGCGAGAAAGTAAGTGTGACGGGAGCACTGGGGCGCTGAAGCACAACGGTCGTTGATGCACACGCAGTGGTTGAGCCACTGCGTGTACACGGAGCCACTGTGGCTTCGTCCTTGGAGTTTGAAAAATGCGCGGGAACCTTGACTGCTGTGTGTGCCACATCACTTTGACAAACTCAGTACCTAAATAGAGGCCCTGTGTAATTCAATATTTATGTGTTGTCAGAACTATAAGTTGTTGACCCTTTCTTATTGCCGCTACTCTCTGTAGTTACAGTATCCAGACAAACGCTACTGTAGTTCAACCTATCTAAGAAGATCACCAGGAAAAATGTAAGCTCGACAGACTGCTCATTCCTCAATTCTTCGAGATACACACACTTCGCGGTGCCCCCCCCATGAATTTCAAGCTTTACGTCGCTGTCGCCGTGGCTGCTGTGGCCACCACCTCCGTCAACGCCCTCGTGACGACATGCGCTCCGTATAGCTCGTGCGGAGGTTTCACCGAAGCGTACCTCAAGCAACTTGCCACTTGTTGCAACAAAGTCGGTGGCATGAGCGGCGAGCAGTGCTGCCACGCTAGTTGCCAGAATGTATCGCCCTGTCAGTTTGAGCATGATTGCTCTTGACGGCTCCATCTAGGCTGTCAATACTTCAGTTTCATTCCCCGACAGCTCCCACACTCATTTCAGCACCTCATGATTCCCGTTGGCCGTGGTCATATTCCTCCATTCTTCTATCGTGCAGCATTGCTCCCCATACGGCATCACTGCGGTCGTCAACCGGCCATTACAGAATCTCCCAGACTCCGGCACATAATGATGATGAGTGTACTCAGATGTTCGTGAATATCACGCTGCACAGATATATTGTAGGTGCTGTTTATAAAACAGCATATAAGCGCGTTCCGCTCGGCCACTCAACTGATTGCACACACCTCGACGTTACCAGAGTAATCTGGGATGCAGATTTCATTGCTTGTGTGAGATTATTTGTGACCGCGTCAAACAAAAAGACGCTAACCCACCATTTGGAGTTATCGAGATAATCGCGTTTGCAGTTGACTAATCAAATTTCGGACATAACCGGACATCAAAATTTTGAACGTGAAAACCATTCGTAAAACACATAAAAACACTCTTATTCGATTGTTTTTTGCACAAGCTTCCCAATAATATACAACATGTCGAAATCGAAAAATATTAAGGTCACACGCCCCAAATAACATCAGGGATTTCGGGGGTCCGAAAATGGAGATATTTTTTCAGACCGATGTTACTCAACATGTTCTCAATACTTTGGAGTGTTCGATAGCTTAAAAGAAGCCCAAGATATGCCTCGTTCGATTGATGCAGTTAAATCGCGATTCGTACTTAGGTTCGTAAGCACCTTTTCGATTGACGGTCTCATTTTAGGGGAAACTATTTTCGTACCAGTCGGCTTTTAGCAATTACTGTACATATAACTACACCTCATAGTTGGCCTAATTCGCAAGCAAAGTTGTCATGAGTATTGGAGGTACCAGAAATTAACATTATATTTCCTAAAGTATGACTTTCGTTTCATTCAAAGTTGTCTAATTACCACCAACGACTATTGACGCAATACACCTTTTCCCTCGCAAACTCAAGACCTTTGGCGTACTCTGATAGAGTGCGAAGTGACGCCAGCACAGAGGCAAGATGGCGAAGGCGAAGGCGTGTGTGCGTGCGTGCAGCTTCTTGAGTGTCCGATCCGCGTCTGCATGCCCTTCATCAAGCGGCAGCTGTACGCGATCTCTCAAGGAGGGCAACATGGGTGGCGCGTTGACACGCCCCTCACTGAGCAGGGGGTGAGACGTGCTTTGCGGCTACATGTGGTACATGTACCTCTCGGTGGGAATTAGACAACTTTGAATGAAACGAAAGTCATACTTTAGGGAATGTAATGTTACTTTCTGGTACCTCGAATATTCATGACAACTTTGCTTGCCAATTAGGCCAACTATGGCCGGGCAAGGTGTAGTAACGGAGCACCTCAGTCGCGTTGCTCCGTTGAGTTGCTTAGGGGGCCGATACCCTGCAGTGGAGTCTCCACTTCAGGCCGACGTCCCCACCCTCTAATTGATCCAGTAACGCTATCAATCGCCACAACCATTATTTGTTGTGTAGTGAAGCAAACTTAGAGTCTCAGTTTAACCATGCAGGTCATCGAACCAATTAGCAATTAACAACACTGGAGGGGCTGCATGATGAAGTCTTCATTATCAACTAATACTATCGCGATATTCTCTATTATATCGGCAGCAAGTAGTTGCGAGGAGCATAGCCAAAGCAAACCCGCGCGGGCTGCTCGTGAAGCATGTCCGCGTAGGAGCGCCCAGCGACCAGCAGGGCAGCAAACGAACCCGTCGTTGCGGCTTGGAGCTAGTTGCGTAGTGCGGGGTGTGGGCCCCCAAGGTATAAGGAGACCACCTGCGCCACTGCCAGGAGCTATCTGTAGGCTACAGGTTGTAGCTTCACAGAGTATTGGACATGGTGAGCTTTCCGTAGCACGTATCCATGCAGGCAAGTTGAAGTGCACTCTCTTTTAGCAATTCTACGCTTGCCAGCACTAACTCACTCGTAGTAATGGATGCAAGCGCTGACTTGGCGCTCTAAATAGGAGTGAAGCCGAGGACTAGGTGGCGTTTTCTTCGCATTCGGTGCGATCTAAAGTGTAGCAATTTATCTAAACCGGCGATTTGCTTCCCCCTCCCGGTTTGAATAGCGTTTATTGTCGTGGCTAAATCGTGTCCCCCCACTTTAATGGCGTCGACCCCTTCTCAGAAGGGGTCACTCCAGTTTTTACGCAGTAAAGCGCTTTTATGGATCGAGATAGGGTTCTTCAACCGAGGTTTTTCTTGGCCCCGGGGAAGCGATTCCAGAGGTAAACCCTAACCGTTCATGTCTCAGATTAAGAGAGGCAAGTAAAGAGAGGTAAGAAATAGAGTAAAGAGGAGTGATAGATGATTATAAGTGGGGACTTCGTCCCCAAAAAGCTTTTAAGATAACTTGCCAGCCATATTTACATTACACTAACAAACAAACAATTTACGAAAGGGTTTTCATTTAGTGCTCGTGCGAACATATATGTTAGGTCTTGATCAGGATTTCTCGCAGCGGCAGCCGTCCCTTCCAGGGCGACTCGCGACAGTGGGTTCTCAGGAACCGGAAGTCACCAATTGAGGTTGCCTGGTCTGATGAGGCCATCGGTAACATAACCCTGGTCAGCGTCCAATGGCTGCGTTGGCGCTAGCAACGAGAGAGCTATTTCATTCATTTTGCAGGTAAGGTATACTGTGCTCATTTTTGTACTATGTTGTGTGCTAACGATCAGACGAGAGAACTACAGTAGCGGAACGAAGGAGAGATGCATGGTGCGCTGATCTTGACCATTTAACTTGAGGATGTTAGCTAGGGTAAGTGACAATACAGACAACGACTTACAAAGCCGGCAGACGAAGTCAAGCAAAGCTTAACATGAGCAAACCAGCCAATCAGATTCAATCAAATGACTTCATCTTTGTATACCATCTGGTTTTGTGTACTTTATATGCTCTCTTGTGTATTTTATGCAACACACCGTGTGTTTTATGACAGTTATACAGATTTGACGGGAGGAATTTATCGTTGTTTTTATATAGGAGCATGGCATTAAGCATGCCGGCTTTGTAACTCGTTGTCTCAATTCAAAAACAAAACAAACAAGCAAACTTTTAACTTGAGAGCTTCGGAATGAGATATACGCTAATGGGCCAATTCCTTGAAAGTGGGTGCTTCAACGCAGGGAAAAAAGTCTTGTTCAAACGAACGATGCTTGTGTCACTGTCGAGTTGGGCATCTTCGGCTAAGAGTGATTGGGTATTGAGCAAATTGACATGTAAAAAAAGTGCAGCCTGCAGCTAGACAAGTCATGTTGTTCATCTTCAGCTAAGCTTGGTCAATTATGGCGCAAATTGATACGCCTTCAGCGAAGCCATGACGCTCTCATACTGTACTAGAGCGTCCGTAAGTGTTTGAATGCAGGTTTTGGTCAATAATAAACGATTAGTATCAACCTTTGGTAAATAATGTGCACAAATCTTAGCATTTATCGACGGGTACCCGATTCCGGCAGATATTAGCTTAAACATTACAATTAAGAAAGAAAGACCCGGTTTGGTACCCGGTTTTGGAAAGTTACAAGTTTTTTGCCGGGGCCAAGCACAGGTCTTCGACCTGTGAATTAATCATGTGCCGGCTGCGTAGCAGCATACCTTACGGTACACTAGCTATCTCAGTATAACTACACCTTTGCCCGACCATAGTTGGCCTAAATCGCAAGCAAAGTTGTCATGAATATTGGAGGTACCAGAAAGTAACATTACATTCCCTAAGGTCTTGATCAGGATTTCGCTCGAAGATCGCCATAGGGGCTGGTGACAGCATTAATGGAGCAGCTTTAGGAAGGAAGATGGCTACATCTACTCATATGCGTGCTAACTGCGGCGTTGTTGTCCCACAACGAGCGCCCTTGAGACGGATTTGCAACAGTCCGTCGTGGTGGCATCTCGCGATAGCTGCGTGAGCCATTTGTGGGCGTGCGTTTGGTGCCGGAGAAGATGAGATGGGGTCATTTGACAGTGGCAATTTACCACTTGTCAAATGACCCCACTGGCAAGAGGGGCTCTGGCACGAGGAAAGCTTTAGCCACGGACAATTTGCAACACGTTTCACGGTGTGCCACGAGTCCCAAACAGCAGTGCAGAACATTGGCCAAAGCCATTCAATCCGGTACGTTTTATCCGTACTTCACGAATTCGATTGAGTGCAACCTGACATGCATCTATCACGCATCTTACCTTCTAGAACCAGGACGACAACCGATTTGGCGGCGGGTTGTCGACTCTGGATTTCTGCCGCTCACTCGGTTTCTCCTCTTTAGAAGGTTTCTTGTCTTCTGTAAGTGCAGCTACTGGAGCTGGAGCTGGAGCTGGTTGCGCACCAGGATGAATGTGACCGGGAACTTTATACTTACACAGCACGCACTCAACAACCGGCGGAGCCACGACGATGGCCTCGGCAGCAGCAGCGGTGTCTTCAGCTGCCTTATCTTCTTGCGTAGAAGGCTTATCCGCTGTGGTAGTGCAATTCTCTTCCGCTTCGCTTGGCTCTTCTGTGAGGGAGGCCAGCATGGGCACGGCAGACCGACGTTGCAGCGTCTTGTTGCGTCGTGGGCGCCCAGATCGAGCACCTGGTGCATCTGAAGACGGATCTTTGCCCAGAGCAGCAGCAGCCACACGCGCTTGCTGCAGGTGCTCACAGCCACCGTCACACGACGAAAAATGCCGTACTTCCGCCGCTCTCTCGCAGGCTCACTGGGCTCGCTATCAATCTCCATCGAACACCAATCAAAACTTCACTCCGTCCTATTCTAGGACATAATCCTAGTTGTCAGAACGGCAAAACTATTTGAAAAGTATTTTCTGTACTTGATATTTGTAAACGCAACAAATATTTGTCGGAAAGTGTCGGAACGCGTTCACCTAAACCTAATGCAGACGATTGGCTAAAATATACACACCAGTCGATATGATAGGCTGTAATTCAGGTGAAGACAAGCCTGCTGCTCGCTTATCGGTCGGAAAGACCACTATATTCATCCATGTCGATCAAGATTAATTTTGATCGACATGGCAAGGTGTTTTTGACAAGCAAGACATTCCTGACTGAGAAGGCAGGAAGATTTTGACTGAGCAAGTTATTCTAGACAACCAGGCAAGCTATTCTTGACAGAGCAAATAGGTTTTGACCAACGTCATTTTTGACTAGTAGTTTTTGACCGATCTAGCAAGGAATTTTTGAGCAACCTGGCAATTAATTTTGGACCGGCCTGGCAAGTAATTTTTGAGGGGTCTGGTAAGTAATTGTTGAGGGGTCTGGCTTGACCGAGCTGGCAATTAACGTTTGACTGACCTAGCAGTTTGTTTTTGATCAGGCAAGCTATTCTTAACCTACAAAGCAAGTAGATTTTGACAGGCGACATGGCAAGCTATTCTTGATAGACCTGGCAGTTTATTCATGACACACATGGTAAGTTGATTTTGACAGGCACGACTCTTGAGCGACATGGTGAATTATTATTATCCGACACAGCAAGTTGTTTTTAACAGGCGAACTATCTTCGACACGATGATTTTGACCTGACAACCGCCATGTGGTGTAAGCCTGGTAACTTGTTGTTGATCAGTTGCTGTAGGCACTCCAGAAAAAACTGAAAGAAGACATCTACTTGAGCTGGAGAGGAAAGAGGTGAACGAAGGAAGGGACGAGACCGCTACGAGGGCATCCAGTAATGGGGAAGGAGTTGCCGCGGAAGGCGCTTGCCGTCAATGTTACCGGGGAGGAGCTGGCCGCCGTGCGTAACAACTTCAAGAGACATCTGATAGACAAGAGCGACCCTATCACGTGCACCATTTGCGGTGGTGACAAGTCTCACAAAATGCGATACAGACTGCTTACTTGTAAGCCAGAATACTGCTCAACTGGGGCACTGGGACCGTGCCCTTGGCGCGGTAAACTGCTAATGTGCAATTCAACAAAGCTATGTCTTCCAATTTGAAGAGCACCTTAGCCATGTGTCTTCCCCACGAAAACTTAAGTTGTCTACCGCCCAGAAACAGTTTTGTCATGAACTTACCGGGGAGCGTCTCAAACCTATGCGAATTCGCCACGCCTTGTCTAGGAAATTTGGCGTTTCACTGGAAGAGTTACCAAGCCTTGTTACTGTTCAGAACTACGTTAATAACTACGCGCGCACCCGGCTTGATAATCACGATTTTCGGTCGTGGCATCGGCATAGAATAGGATGAGCGTGCTGCATGATGTGGGGATCAAAGTAAGACTTGACATTAAGAGATTACGAAGCAGCCGCCGGGTTGGCACGCCTTAGGCGTGAACCCTGGGTGAGGTGTGGAGGGTTCGCGCGGCGACTTGGAGCTGGTTGGTTTGGCGAAGGGAGAATTGAGAATGAGCTTGGGCGACTTCGATTAGTTGCTGGGTCGTCTCAGGCGTACTTTTAGCGCTGCTAGAGCACGATAAGAGTTGAAGACGACCTTGAACCCGATTGGTGCCTCTCACTCTTGAAAATTCTCTTTTCGCCTCCGTCCAAAAGCATCACCGACTAGCCGATATTAGGAAGTGGATTACGGACAGAGGATTTAACGGAGCCGAGTCGATGGCGCAGCCTTTCACTTTCTCGTGAGACATGGACTCAAATGGAAGACTGGTGGTTGGAGATGGATCTGATGAGGACCCGTTTGTCGTGGGCCTGTCGACCAAGGCTATGATTTTGAGACTATTGATGCTCCCCGAAAGTTTTATTCTGCATATTGACGCCACATACAAGCTAAATCGACTTGACTACCCCGTGATAGTAGTCGGTGTGTCAGACCGCTCGCGAGGATTTCACTTAGTCGCTCTCTTCATTGTGGCACAAGAGATACAAGAATTTTATGAAGCTGCGCTACGAGCGCTGCGCCGATTATTCACGTGGGTTACTGGTCAGCAGTTAGTAGTTCAGTTCACGATGAGAGACGCGGCTAAGGCGCAGCACAACGCTCGCTTTTCGGTTTTCGGTAACAACCCCCGGTTCCGGTTTTTGATGTGCTTTTTCCATGTGATGAAAAATGTCCACAGGGGTTCCTACGTATGCGCGCGCTAGTGCGGTGAACGACATATACAACCTGCATTTGCAAATGGCGATTACGAATTTAGTGTGACGAGGAACCAAATTTTGCAAAGCTGGTTGACGCAACCGGCACTTCAGGGCTTTGGGCTCTACATGCAAAAGCAATGGTTATTTGTAATATATTCGAATTGGCAAGTGTTTATCACGCCAAGTGGATACGCAACTACAAACAATCCAGTGGAGACATTCAATAGTGTCTTTAAACGAGACGACGCACTAAGACGTCGCTTGACGATGGGAATGATGCTTAGAGAAATAACGGAATGTTATCGTCATGACTCCACTACACTGCGCCCGTTTCTCAACGCGATAATCCCCCCTGCAGCACTGGTTCACCGCGAGAAAGAGATGACCCTTGAAAACGTACTGCAGATTTGGCCCCATGGCGGCTCGCTCGATACAACCTCACTAAAAATGTTTACCTTGCTTTGAGTATAGCTTACTAAATTCAACGCATTGCGTCTAGCTAAAGAACAAAACCCAACTTTGTTTCTTCACTAACTTACACGAAAATCTACTTGGCAAATTGCCTCATAAATTGGGCTTTGTCAACATGGAATCAGCAATTTATCGCGAAGTATGAGAAGAAAGCCATCAAAGTTTGCAAAAACTTAATGCGGTAGTAAGCTAATTTTCACGAATTTCGAAGGTAAGCAAACAATATAGTGTTCTCCCTAAACACAAACTATAGAGTTAGCTGTACGTGTTTTAATAACAGTTTGTTAGTGTCTAGTAAATTTTGTAAGCATGTGATTGCCGAATGACCAACACCAATTTTCGAGCAAGAAGAGCGGATTGTTAGAACTTAGATATTTAAACAACTTGTACGGCTCTGTTCGGTCAATATCTTCTTCGGCATTCTATGGTGGAAATACAGCTTGTCGTTCACTTTGTCACAGCTTAACCGCAATATATCGAGCAACTATTCCCCTGCTACTAACTTGTCTATTTACAGTTAGCAAACACGCCACTAACATTAGTGTCTAGTAACTTTAGTAACAGCAAAATTCCCCACACTACAACAATACAAGCCATCCATATCTGCTTTACTATGCTCGCCAACGACACTGAAAGCGAATAGATAGCAATAGTACCGCCCATACCAAAATCTAAAACGATTTAACACATACTTGGTTTATCCGTGTCATGGTATTACATTTTGTTTTCAGTGTCGTTGCAAGGTGTACCACAAAAAATAGAGCCACTACGAATATATCAAATCATTACTATCGCAATAAAGATTTCCATTACGTCTATAAGAGAAATCATTGCTTTAACTTGGACCTTGTACATGTGAAGCACCTACATGTCAGGTGATGGGCTACGCCATCGGCGCCGGCTAGGCTGTGCCGTGAGAGCTGCGCTTGTGCTGGATTGGATGTTGGATCCGATTTCGATTGAGCCGATACTGTTCCGTTGTAGCGTTGATGGGCAAGCTTGATGGTATTTTCGACGTGGTACTGGATGCGGTCTCGTTGAAGCTCGCGGCGACGCAGCTTGAGAGCATCATCAAGCCTTATCTGATATGTGTGACGAAGCGCCCGTGCCTTTTGAAAGGCCAGGTTGCTAGACCGCTCGACCTTGGTATTCGCTCAGCCCAGCTTAGCGCTGCAAGAGTTCCGCTCAGCTCCTTCCACTGAGCGAACACTCCCACTCCACGTCGCTAGGCTTAGCCGCTTGAACGCTTAGCTCAGCTCCGACTCGGGTCGGGCGAGGCGTGTGTTCCTCACTCTGCGATCCCCTTGGCGGTTCTTTTGATCACGGCTACGCTGTGGGCTCAGACTTGCGTCGGCCGCACCAGCTGCTGTCGATGTTGAAGGTCTCCGGAGGTGTTCCCAGACGAAACTCGCTCCCCACTTGGCGAGTCCCAGTCCGCACGTGTCCACAGCCCGAAATGCCCTGGGTTTTCCTTAATGATCACAACACCACACACAATATAGCCTCCACTTTCCCCCTTGGGTATGGCTCAGAACCACAACACCCCTTCTTTCCCGGTCGGCCTGGGTCTGGGCCGAGTTCGCCTTTATTTCACTGAGCCTGGGCGAGGCTCATACCAGCTTCTCCTTTCTTCTCTTCGAGTCAAGCAACGGCCCGGTCTGGGATTAGTGACTCGGTTTGAGCCTAGTCCGAATCCAAGGCACTCACACACACGCCGCCACACACTCAGATTGCACGTCAAGGTGGCTGGGACTACCCGCACACCAGGTCCACAATGAACCGATACTAATAATATGGTGTAGTACCCCGCGGAAGAAGTGGGTGCGCCGGGCGCCGGAGGACGAAGGCGCCGGGACGCGAGTGATGGACCTCGACGCGGTTGATGGAACGCGACGCGGATTGATGGGCGCGACGCAGTTCAACGTATACCGTTTAGGTGGGCGCCCGATAACGCGCTGCCTAGGGGAAGGACCTCACTGGCCTGATAACCGCCGTGCACAAGACTCCCCGTGTAGGCCCGATAACGCCACACAAGCCCCAGGAAACGCCGGCCTGATAACGCCGCACGCCCGACGGGAACGCCGAGGAAAAGCCGGCCCGATAACGCCGCACGCCCAAGGCTCGACGCCCTACGACAAGGAACAAGCGTTAACACAAGACCCCCCCCAACTCTGAAGCCTGCGAAGACTTGGGCCTATATTTCGAAGATACGCTACTCCAACAACCGGGAATAATTCGCTCGGCGCGACCGCTATCCAGACGAACCGAGTTTGTGCGAGACCGCATTCGCGAGATTTCTGCGAGGGCGCTACTCCACAATGGCGCCGCGACCCGGGAGTACTACTTCGAATGACGGACTAACGATCCAAGAGGCATCGGAGGCAGGTGCGCAGTCGGCTGGAAGGTCGCCGACTATAAGAGAGCACAGTGAGAGGCCTGTCGCGTCGTGGAGCTCTGAGGGAACCTTCACGACAGGCCACGGGGCCAGCGACGACCAGGAGGGCTACAAAGAACAGTTTGCCGTTCCCGATGCGGCTCCCGATGAGGGAGCCGCGAAGGGCCGTGACACAAGTCGCGGTCCTACCGGTCGGAAGCCTGCAAAGGCCGACGACCAACAACAACCCACCGCCACGGCAGCCACGAAGCGCAAGTCGCCCAAGAGGAAGAAGAAGAAGCTGCGCGCGCCGGACTCGGCGGAGGAATCGCTGGCCAAGCCGCAAGGCAAGGACACGGGACGTCAGTACACCGTCAAGGAGGTACGGTACGTCGTGGCGCGCACTGAGCTCTTCCGTCTGCTAGAGCAAGACCCAATCCTGGTCTTCTTCAAGCCCATGCTGATGAGCAACTTCACATGCCCCTTCGTGGCGCCGGACTTCGATAGTCTCACCCGCGTCGCCCACGCCGCGCCGACTCTCTTCCAGATGCTGCGTGACTCGGGGTTCG